TAAATATACGAAACGATGAAAAAAAACCACCACACAAACAACTATGTACGTTCAGCTCAAAACTATGAACGAACGAACGAAAAAAAAATTATGATATCTTTGACTACAAACACGCACATTGCCATAAGAAGAGCAACGAAACTGCAGCACAAAAAAAGACGTGAATAAATTGAAGTTGGTGCAACGATGTGTTTGTGTGTTTCGGACGAAGAAAGACAACGAAAAAAAAGTGGAAAAAAAAACTTATGAAAAATATCAAATGCGCTGTTGCCAATATGCTATTGCCGATCTATCATTTATGCGAGTCAATATCAGAAGGGAAAAAAATATTCACACTCGAAATGGTGTGCATTGGAACAACGACAACAGCAAAAATGCCACTTTCAAAGCTTTGAAACCGGAAATTGAAAGTGACTTAATTGAAAAATGTCAGCAACCAAAAACCATTTTTTTTTTCAAATTGTAAATCATCGTCACGATGGAGGTTACAGTGGAAATAAACCTTGGCCAAGGATAACTTTCGAATCAACTACATCGAAATGGAACGGGTTGTGCACAAGGATTCATCTTCGTTATCGTGAAGTGAGCCGGTGTGTCCAAGACAAAATCTCATTATCCAATATACATATGCAATGGCTGATGCTTACAGGTAGAGTGAGACTTGTTGCCAAGTTACTAAGTTATGCAAACAATTTTTACCATGGATAACAGCAAATACACGGCATTTTAAATGGATATGATGGACTTTGCATAGCTTTAGCTTTGCGCTTTATATTTTATGGCACTATTGACACTGCACTTATTTCGCCGTAAACTTCAGCCATTTTATTGGCGTCGTGCGTTCCGTCTCTTTTTTTTCTCTCTTTCTCTCTCTCTCTCTCTCTCTCTCTCTGTTGCTCGGTGTGTTTTACCAGTGCAACATACAATCAATGCTATCGATTCAATACATATCGTATGGTAGCACTGAGGCGAGTGAGTTGCACAGGCGAAACAAACGAATGAAAAAAAACAAATCAAGTTGAAGAGAGAAAAAATCCCACAATGGCCTTACATATTTTCGTTTCTCTCGGACACTATTGATTGCCTTCGCATGAGATGTGGTGTTTTGTTTTTCGCTTTTTTTTCGTGCTTCTTCATTCAACATTCAAACATTTGGGCTGCAGTGCGGCTACGACTACGGCGCCAATTTTTCATTGCAAAGTAATATTTCATGTATTTTTTCGGCTAGTTTTATGGTGGCGTTCGTGCCGATGAAGATCGATGGCAAATGGCGAGCACGACGGGGAAAAAAAGCTGCAACGGCATTGCATTATTATTGCAAGCCACATACCCACATCGAGTTAATAACTACTGCGCTTGGATGCATTAGATGCGCACTTTAACCATACACTTTCACATTTTTTCTTCTTTTCCTCGGATAATTTTTTTGTTTTAGTTGCTGTTTCGCTTGAAAATGAATGTGCGATGTATGAACGAACAAACAAACAAACAAAAAATTCGCGCTAATACACACAGAGAGTGTACAATCGAAAAAAATGGAGCAGCAGCAGCAGCATATTTTCATGGATTGAAATAGAAAGAGTCAAACAAAACGATCCGAACAAGAGAAAACTATCGTCATGAAATGCACACGAAATTATGATTGCATTTTTCCTGCAGATAAATTAATTTAGCGGATTTGCATCGCGGTGGTGTGTGAGCGCTCGCGCGCGCTCTCGCTTGCGGTCTGAAATGGAGCGTTTTGCCGAAGAAGAGACGACTGCATCTTTGATGATGAGCGAGAGTGAAAGCCGCACACCGAACGATGATGATAATCACATCAAATGAATAGAGAGAAAAAAACAACCGACAAAAAAATTGTATCACGTCTTCATTTCGATGTTACGGTAACGATATCGATTCGCCAACTCTGAAATTTGCGTGAGCCATCGTTTTTTTTTGTGTGCGCTCGTTCATTTGTTGGCTACTCATTGATAGTATCGCGAGCATTCAATTGGAAGAGAATATAAAATGAGCCGAGCAGCGAATATACAAAATGCCCGCCATCTTTGATTTAACTGGGCTGCTGTTGTTTTTTTGCTCGTATTCATTTTCTACTCTCGTCTCGCGCATTCTTAATGCGCTTTATCACACACGGGAACGAGACAGAAGAAGAAAAAAATGGCCAACCGCTGAACTTGTCGGTGTTTGTGTGTGAAAGGGCTGTGGTGGCAGTGATTAAGTGCCCAATTATGGCTATTATGGAATTAAATTTTTCCATCACAAACATTTGCGTAGTTCTTTCACACCAAACAGACAACATCATATGATGAACGCCTTTTTCGGCCGTCGAATTATTTCAATTTCTAAGGATGATTCGCAACAACGTGGAACTGAAGCAGAAAGAAGCAAATGGAAAAAATAAAACAAACAACATCCACAATTTCGTGTGGCTTCAAAAGGAATATAAAATTGAATGCTCGGTCTAAAATACGACATGCGTCCCTTGCGCTGAGTTCCACGCCGATATACATCTCTTATTCGTGCATACAACGACCGTTTGTGTGACGACGACGACGACGTCGACGTCGTCGTCGTCGTTGTCGCTCTTTTGTTGCTGGCCATTTTTCTTTTTGGTCGTTTTGTATCAAGTTTAAATAATTTATGCCAAAATGTGTGGCAAAAAATCCAAGCGAAAAAAAAACACACACACAGCGAAGAAGAGAGTCACACATCGGTTTCATTCTGAGTGAGAGAAAGAGATCGAGAGGAATACAAATAAAAATAGTATTTTGCGTATCGTTATTTGAGCGCGTTCATGACGAGACACGAGCCGCGATTTCTGTGCCTTTTTAGCATTTCGGCTAATATTTTGTCGCCGCTCGTGCTGCACATCTAATAGACAGACAAGAGACCAATATGCTTGGCTATGTGTGCTGTCAATCGACCATGTACGACACCGATGTACGTTGCTTGTGTGTAGAAGCGCACAATCTACTCCGAAATGATATGAAGTTGGCCATTGCGGAGTAACTTAGTTAAAATCACCAACTTTTGTTACATTACAATTTCCACATAACTATTTAGCTGGATCGTGTGCGCTGTGTGTATTGGCTCGTTCACAGCGTGCTCATCGTTTACTCATTCGCACTGCTCTTCTATCATTATTATTGTTATTATTTCCTTCTTCTACTTTTTCGTTTCATTCTCTCGGTTTCTCGCTTCCTTTTTTTTCCATTTGACGAAAACCGAAGAATAATAATAAAAACGTATTTTATCTGTGGTGAGTGTCTCGTTTTGTTCATGGATGGATTGTACGACAATATCGCAAATAGCCCAAGCACACCGATTAATGTAATACACTTTATCAATCCTGTATATACAAACGGAACGAAACAGAAGAAAAAAAAATTGACATTCACCATAACCAAATGTACATACGGTCCGCTGCCGTTGGACTGGTAAATAAGTGATGATATGTGATGTGATGTAGGCACTAGGCTCATTGTGCATGAACGTTAAACATTGGGCGTTGAATTCTATTATGGACGATATATATACATGTATTTGTCATGTATATATATTTGATTTTCATTGTCCACACACAAAAATCGTATTCTTATTTTTTCCCCGATGTTTTTCTTCGCCACCGTCGATGACGACGACGACGACGACGATAATTTTGACATTTTTCGAAATATTTTCGATGTCGTTTATATTTTATTTCTCTTATTTTTTAGATTTCGATTTTCGGGCTGCAAATGGATTTATGTGTAATGCGCATGGTGGACCGAAGAAGAAATGGGCAAGACAATGAACGAAAAATTAAAGGCAAGAAAAATTCGAATAAAATCGCTCCCGATGCGAGTGTCGTTTGTACGCACGTAAAATAATATGCTTGTGCTGTTGCTGCTGCTGCTGCTGGGTGAACAAACGTTATTCACATAAGGCATAAACGGTATACGTGGTCGCGTTTCGTATCGATTTTTTTCTCTAGTCTCTATTCACTTTTTATACACTCAGCACCGAGTTTTTTTTTCGTTCGTTGCTGCTTATACTTTTTTTTCAGCGTCTCTGTTTGCCCGATGCGCGCACTCTTTCTCTGTTCCTCTCCATTTAGTTGGTTGGGTCTCCGCTTGTGTGCTAGCTGGCTGCCGCTGCCGTTGTTATTTTCTTTCTTGTCTTTCGAATGTTTTGTATCAAACATAAATTGCACATATACATATAGTCATACGCTCCATCCAATACAATAGAGTGAATATCCAACCGAATCGGTGGAACAGAGAGAAAATCTTTGAGTGTTTCCATTCAAATCAAATGGCCAACAAATATGGCGGAATGTATGATGATTTGATTTTATATATAGATGCAAAATAGAAATATCTATCTATTTTTGTGTTGGATTGCGTAAATGCATGGGATTTCCTTGGGCATTGCCATTGTAGCTAGAGTGTATCGAGTAGAAGAGTGTTTTGCTAATATCGAGGTTATATTCTGGAAAAATTACAACACACAATGGGATTTCAATCAATGTTTCATTCAAAAATTTCAACGACAACACATATTTGGAGTTTGGATTAAATCGATGCATTGTTTCGAGCATAATTCACGCCGTTTTTTCTTTCAACATGTTTCCCATTGAGTTTGAAGAAAAAATTAAAAAAAACAGTCGAGTCGATGACCAATCAATCGAAAAGCTTAAATGTCAAAATCCACATGAACGAAATGGGTAATATTCAACCTATACTTTTGCCCGGCGCAAGATAGCGGTGGCGCCTGAATAAGATGTATTAGCAATTTGCGGCATTTTTAAGAACTATCAATACTTGTTGTTATTGTCATGGATTTCGCAACAACAAGAAGTATTGAAAGTTCCTAAACTTGGCGTAGACTCTATTTAGGCGCCACCGCTACTCAATGTCACGTCAAATACATTGGTTCTTATGGCAGAGAAGCACAGGTTGGTAATATTGGTTTCTATGGTGTTAAAATTACAAATAATAAAATTGAAAAATATTTACGTATAAATTGTGTGTATAACTCACATATAAATAGCATGAGCTCAACATTATCCAAAATGCTACATTCTCGTTGCACACTTTAATATCATTCCAAAAATTGTAATAATCTCTTTTTTTCGCTCTTTTATATTCGCATATTTAAATATTAACGAGTGTGTATAAATTTTTTTTTTTGCCTCTGCTGTTTCTCGTCGTCGCTGATATTGTTGTTGGCAACGTTTTTTTTACATATATCTCTCTCTGGTTGGCTTGGATGATGTTCCTTGTCGCACGACGAGTGGGGATGAATCGCGTATATTTTTGTTCGTTTAGCAACTTAATTGATTGTGTTTTCAACTTCTTTTTTTATATTCTAAAACACATTTATTTTTGCGTTTTCTTTTTGTTTCATACTTATTATTTCATACCGGGGTATCGTCGCTGTAGTCGATGTTCTCTTTGCTTTTGTATCTGTTCGTGAAGTAATTGTTTCACGCACATACGAACGAACGAGCGATTGTAGAAAAAAAAAATTATACACTTTTTTCAATGTTATTTCTCCTTTTCTGCCAGTCTGGATTGTTGTTGTTGGCCTCTCTCGCGCTCGTTGTGCTTGTATTTTCTTTCTTGAATTCTTACTACCGATGAACCGTCTTTTGAGGCGAACAAATTTTTTTTTGTTTTACTCGGATTTGTGTTCACGTTTATAGTAAATGCATCTTTTTCTGTCGATGTGGCTCACACACTTTTACTCTGCGAAAAAAAAAATACAACGATTCGTCTCAATTCTGGACACATTTTCTGTTGTTCCAGTAGAGAAGAGTCAGTTGAAGAGAGAAAAAAGCGTATACACACACTGCGAATGAAAGGAATGCCAAATGTAACCGCACAAAGAGGCAAAATTGATCTGCCGCACAAAGCATTTGGGCAGAAATTTATTCGTTTTTAGCACATGAAATGAAACGAAAATACTAACACACACACACGTCGATCGAGGCAATTTCACCAAATTCAATAGGTCCGTGCACAAGCCGATTCACCAAATAAACCGAAACAACAACAGCAGCAACAACGAAATAAAAAATGAAAGCAAAATGGAGAGATACTGAAATAGAGGCGACGAAACAATTCCGAACCGTTCAATAGCAAAGCAAGGAAATTTCTTTGTAATACCAAAAATACATAATAATATTTATTTATTTTTTTTCGTTCACTCTCCACTAATGAAATAAGCACACGCAGCAAAGAAATTGCTGTGAACACAGTTAATTTTCCTCGTAAAGTGGCTGCTGCTGTTGCTGTGCTTGCATGTATTGTTCAATTCAAATCGTTCGTTTTATTCACTTCTTTTCACAATTCCCGTGGCTTGATGCGAATGTGAGCGTATGCCTGCGAATGACTACGATTTTTTTTTGTTCATTTCATTTTCGCTTAAATCGAAATATTTTTCCGCCGTGTAAATAGGAAATATTAATACGTTAATGTAAAAGATACTGAATCAGTCTGTTGTTTCGGCTATATTTTTTTTCGTACTCCGATTTTTTCTCTCTTCTTATTCGTAGTACCTGTGTGCTATTATAAACACAATTATACGACGTTTGTGATTGCATCGGAGGTCTCTATCACTCGAGAGACACGAATACCTAAACTTTAGCACTATTTTTCTCGTTCGCTCTCTAAGCCACATTCAAATATAGCGCAATGTAAATCGCCGTGAAGGAAATGTAACGGCGAACAATCGTCGCAATCGATTCACACAACCAATCAACCAAACACACAGCAGCAGCAGCAGTAGTAGCGGCAGCAGCAACAACGAATGAGTGGATTTTGTTTTTTTTTTTTTTTTTTTTTCTGTCGAGAAAATTTCGGCCTTCGATTTTGATGCAGTCAAATGAAGTATTTGCATTATTCAAGTCGCTGCGAGAAATTACATTTTGTCATTTTACCCGACTGCTGAATTTATGTATCGATGTAATGTGAAGTTGAAACAAATGAACAGAGAGCGAACCGAATGAAAATGGTAACGTTCATTGAACTTGTGTGTTTCCCTCTCCATCTCGTTGTCGCCCGTTGTCTTTGGATTTTGGCTGCCGAATTAGTTTCGAAGTATTTTGTGTGCAAATGTTTTGCCTTTGTACTGTTGTCCAGCAACAAAATTTCAAATTGTAAATCCCAATTTTCCGAAACACACACACAGATCGTGAGAGCGTGAGAGCGTGAGAGAGAAAGAGAGAGAGAGAATGGAATTAATTGCATACTTCTAATAATAAACGCAATGGATCCTCTCTCGTTCGGCCGCCCCTCGCTCTCATCGTAAGTCTAAGCGAAAATTTGTGCTTTGTTTCGCATTTCTGATTTTCGATTGCAATCGACAGCAAAATCAATTTAACTAATTAATGGCGAAGAGTTTGGATTGGAGAGCATTTATTAGTTATTAATATGATCGGTTCGGTTCGGTTATTTAAATTTTAAATATCCGTTGCACAAAAGATGTGCGAACGAGAAGAGGACAGGAGATCAAGTGAGTGAGCGAGCGAGAGAAGCGACATGAAATATATAGGTGAATGAGCGAGAGCAAACAAACAATTCATAGCATAAGATGATGTATATTGTTCGATTTCGATATGGAAATATATGGACCGAGCGTATGAACAGCAGCGTCAGCAGCAGCGCAGAAATCGCAAAGACCGACCGAATCAGTGGCTGTGCAGTGCAGCGAATGTATGCATGCATGCATGTGTCGGTGCATTCATAGATGTATTCGATTATTTTTATTTCATGCCGTTTTTTTTTTCTCTTTTCATTCCACTCTCTACTTTATCGACATGGCTGTACATTTCTAATTCGGATACAAATCCGAAAGGAACATATGCAATAGAAGTCATACACTCGAAGCGCAAACACATATATACGTTATTAAAAACGCTTTGATTATTCAATGATGGCTACACTGCTCGGGCTTAACGAATTTGAAGAAGAAGAAAAAACGCCGCACATGCAATGTTGCCTTGTCACCATATCATTTGAACAAACACACTATCACTATTGCACATTACAACCGAATGGGTCAAGTAACGTGAAAAACGAATGAGGCGATCCAAGTAAATGCACCGAACGAAGACAAAACAATAAAAAACATTTGAACATGCAGGGTGAGAGTGAGACACGGTTTTCACCGCAAATTTTAAAATAAAAATCTATTTTTTTTTTCGCGTATCGATGTCTTGCCGCCTTCGTTCATTCAACTAGCAGCAAATAAAGCGCAGTTGAAACAAAGCAACACACACCAAATTATCACGATTATTGTTGGCTTTTATTTCCAACGCGAATCCGTTTTCTTTATTCTGTCTCTCTTTCTCTCCCTCTTGTTCGTTTTCTTGTCGTTAACCCGTGAAATTGTGGCGAAAAAGCATTGAATTGAATGCATTCGAGAATGCCAAAATCGAATATAAAACGATAAAAGAGTAAAAGTTATTGTTGAAACACACACACACACACATATATCGCGCGCGCACTGATTTTGGCGAGCCAGAAAGACAGAGTGAACAACAACAACAAAAAAACCACACACCGTCCGTAATGACTTCGACCACTTATTAAAAATGCAGCTTTAAACACACAGAGCTAATATACACAGTCAACGCTTATTAAATCAAAAACACCATACACAGGTCGTTTTCATTTGCAATTGCAGTATGTGTATATGGGTATGACTGCAGCAGCGCATATTTTTTACAAGTCCTTGTCAGATGTTCGTTGAATGGGAAAATGCGTATGGAAAAAAATGGCAAATAATTTATTGCGATTGGCTTGTGTTTAACGTTTCAGTTTTAACGAATCACCACTCATTGAATTAATTGGTTTATTCCGATGAGAATTTCTATTGAATTTTCATTCGCAGCAAAATGTTTTTTTTTTCTCTCTTCACTGACAGAGTTTTTTTTTTGTTTCGTATTTTTTCTTTGTTTTCAATGATGTACCTAAATTCAAGGAAACAGCGTAATCCATTGATAAAGATGAATTATTTTTTTTTCTCTATTCATTCGAATGAGTTTTCTTTTAATTCGATTGAATCACATGAAACACATTTATCACACAAAATCACATCAGAGTCAATTTGCTGTGCCAGTTTGATTGGGTTCAATTATGACATTTTCCAGTTACTCGACTAATTAAGCGTCAGTCGACGAAACGTTATAACTCGTTATTTTTTCTTTCAATTTCAATTCTCACACTTCGGCAACGACTTTGCGTAAACGATTCGAAAAAAAAAATCGTTGTTTTTTCCCTTTGTTTCTTTCGATGAGGAATTTTCTACGATTATTTTATTATTAAGTTGAACACTTTGGTACGTATAAAGATTATTTTTTTTCTTCGTCTCGCTATTTAAAATTATCTTTTTTTTTTTTGGTTGGTGTCCGAAAGCGAGCTGCTTAAAATCAAGAAACAATTTATTCACCGAATCGCTGTCAACTGGTTTTCGTTGAGCTGTACGTCTGTTTGAAAACACAGAAAACAGTGTTTTGACCCACCTACACTTTGATACAAACTAAAACAGACTGTCAGTGACGGGCCAATGATTATGTTGTGTGTAGAAAATACGGTCGTTTTGTTTAACACGTTAACACACAGCAACCGCAATACGTGCACACGCAACGCGCACCAGCATTAACCGACACTGAAGAAACACTCAAACGTATACTCGTAATCGAGAGAGTCGGACGGATTCCCATACACTTGTACCATACATACAAAAGCGCACAGTACAGTACAGCTCAATGGATCAACAATGCTGCTGCTACTCGACGGTTGGAAATCTTTAGAGTCGTGAACCGTCAAATGATTCAATAAACAAAATGCTTGCAGCTTTATCGCTCAACAGCACCATAAAAACGGACCTTTTTATTCGCAACAAATCGAACGGTGCGCCGCACAGAGTAAACAAGAAATCGGTCTGTACTGAACGCTCTCGTTGATTTAAGATTTCGTGGTGCTAAATCGCAAAATTGCTCTCTGTCTCTTATTCATTCGCTGTGTGTGCCTGTTGGCCGTCACCACATATCCGAATTTCATAGAGCGAAAACACACACACACACACACACACACACACACACACACACACACACACGCAGACAGAGAAAGACCAACATAAAATACATAAGCGGCTTCACTAGTGTCATACATTAAGAGGGAAAATTAAATAAACTAACAGCTAAAACTGAAACAAAAGCAAACCGAAGCAAAATGAAACGACAACAAACGAATTAAATAAATGAAAATCATTCACACAATTGAATTTCTTATTGCTTGTTTGGTGTTGCTAGTGGTGGTGGTTCTCTTTTTGTAATTCATCTGTGCGATTTAAATATGGGCTGCATGCCTGTTTATAAATAGCAAACGGCAGATATTTTTTTCTTCTACTGCTGCTGCTGCTGCTGCTGCTGAATTCTGGCCATGCACATTACACCGATTGAGCAAGCAATGCAAGCGATAACGTAGACTCTTTTTCGTCAATCTTTCCAGAAAGAGCGAGTATGTGTTTGTGTGTGAGTGTGGATATTACCAAAAAAGAAAATATTTAGACAGGCTATGATATGATATGATGATGATTGTGTGATTGTACGAATGCTTGTTCAAGATTTATGTGTCAGTTTAAATGTCACGAAATAACTGTCTGATTTTATTACAGCTGGATTGATGTTGATGCCAAGCCATTTTATTACGAAAATTTGCATTTTCCATTTTCGCATCGGATGAGCACCGAGGCCGAGTAAAGTGAGTGCGGTGCAAAACTCGGAATAAATTTACGAAAGAGAGATGTTATCTTTGAATGGCATCGTACAACAGGCACAACTCACCGAAAAAAAATAATCATTCTTTCGTGTGTGTTTTTTTTCTCTTCATCTCTCTCTCTCTCTCTCTCTATTTTTCACGTAGCCATCAAGAGAAGCGAATTTTCGATGGAAGCCATTTCTCTCCACCTCGTTTCATTTCACTCATCTTACTTATGCCACATTTTCTAACAGCGTAAAATGTTAATGGAAAATCTCTTTCACTGCCATACACTGAGCACCACTTACACACGCGCAGCGCGCACATGCATGGCCACCGATGGCAAAGACAACAACAGCATTTATACATATTACACATAAACTAAACCAATTTCCATATGCCCAGCGCAACGAAGAGAAAAAAAAAGTGAACACCAACGAACATACAAACGAATGAACGAACCAACGAAAGACAGCCATCCAATGTGTACTAAGCACACACAATATGAGAGGAAATGATGCGAATTTATCGCGCGTTTGCGGAGTTTGATAAGTAGTGAGTGGAGAGAGAAAAAGAAAATCAAGTAAAATCGGTGTGGCGGAGTGATGGTGGAGAACGGACGAGCTAGCTAGCTATTGAGCATAAACCGAGAGCCGAGTCAAGAAAACACATTGAATACGACGTGAAAAATACATGTACAGCACATCAAATCCACATAAATGTAAAATTTTGCCCGAGCTCGCTCACACACGCCAATTGTGGCTGAATTTCTGCTCTGTGCTGCGCACCAAAAACAACCATCATCAACAGCAGCAGCAGCAGCCACGGTAGAAAATTCACTCAAACTTACACTGGCTTACACTTGCCACAAAATTTGCTGCTTGCCATTCGCCAAAAACCTATTGGTCGATTTCGTAAACAGATTTTTACATGACATAATTCGCTGTCCTCATTTCACATGCAAGATTTTCTCTCTCGCTCCATCTTCCTTATTTCATTTCTTTGGCAGTGCAAAGATTTACTCTGGAGACGGAAAATCCCGTGTATCTTCATGGAGGTGCCATTTGATTAACTAAAAGAGAAAACATACCGAGAAACAAAAAACGCTAAAATGAAAATGTCCGCCTCGTGCCAAAGGTTTTTTTTATTCTGTTTCAAAAGAAAACGTCATTAAAATGCCAATGAAAATGCAAATTGAATAATCGACGACCGGGCAGGTTAAACAACGGGGGCAGGTGATATCTTCTTAATTATCGGTCGAGACCAACCGAATGCTATATTTTCTTCCATAATACACAGCACACTTGTGCTTCGAAATTACTGCTGTGCTCCGGAGTTTTTAAGTAGTCATTTATTTGTGGAATTTTGCGCAGAGTCCAAGAAATATACGCTTGAATTTTGTGTGTTGAAGCAAGAGGTGAACAACAACTGCGCGCCATAGTCTTTTGAACCCGACCAACGGGAGATTTTGATATTCAACAACAATCGGTTCATGTAAGAAGACAAAAAAATAACAACATAAAGAGCACAGTGTATTGTCTGTACCACACCTGCTCACCGAAATAAGCACAGATATGCTTATAAAAACACACACACACACACCAGTCAAACAGACATGAAATATATGTATGGATTTCCTGACGCGATGGCGCTACTGCCATCCACAATGTTGTTTCGTCGAATTTTTTATTAAAAGACGAACTTTGCGCTTCATTTGATGCGTTCAGTTCCGATGGTCGCGCAACATACACTTTATTCGCAATGAGAACAGGGTGACGAGAATCAAACGCTTTCATAATGATGCCAAGCACATTTTATTCTGGATTCGTTTCGCACTACGCAACAACCTTCGTTTCGTGGAATTGTCGCTTCCGATTCTCTGGGCCCAAGCTTTGAACATTGTTCTGTGTGAGCTGCTGCTGCTGCCATTCTCTTCTATTTTTTCTTCACGTTATCGATTTTTAGATGGTGTAAGTGGCAAAATAATACTACATCCTCCACAGCCAGCGACTACACACTCACACAAATACCAGCGCAAATTGGCGAACAGGACAAGAATTTTTATTCATAGTTCTACGACACATATGAATCTCTTGCTCGATGCCAAATACAAATTGCACATAGAATATTTTCAAGTGAAGTTACGAATTATTTTCTCTCACATATTCTCGACAAGCCGAACACAAATGGTCGCCCTCCGAACGGAACAAGTTTTGTCGAGGAAAGAGTGAAAAAAAACCAATACAATACGAGACGAGCTAAAGCTTCGAATCAAAGCCTCAACTAATATAAATTGCACGAGCATTAAGTATATCGCATAACTTTTTCGGTACAGTCACAGAGAGAGCACTTTGAATGCTGATGCTGATGCTGCTGCTGTTGCTGCCGATGGCAACCGAATTTGCGATGCGTACATTTTTCGATCTGGATGGAGCTGCTGAAATTTGGTGCGCGGTAGTTTGAAAATGAACCGGCAGAAGAATGAGAGGAAAAAGAACAAACGGCAACAATCGCAGTCAAATGTCATACACTCATGGTGTACTTTGCCGTTGATGAAATTCTTGTTGAAAATATGGTTTCGGCTGATTTGCGATGCAAAATTGCACACAATTACAAAATATTGCATTCCACCAAGAAGAAGAAGAAGCAGAAGAAGAAGAAGAAGCAGGAAATAGGCAATCGTGACGATTTCTTTTCCACGTTCAACTCGGCCACTGATCTATATGCATTCAATTAGATTGTTAGATTATTTCATGAATGTGCATCATAATATTTTTTTCTATTCATGCTTTAGTTTCGACCATTCTCATATGGTAAGCAATGTGAAAGCACACAGCAATATTAGTATCGGCGCTCTGACGATACGATGGTTTTTTTCGTCGAGCGTGTGTGAGAGACAGAAAGAGACGGAGAGAGAGAGAGAGAGAGAGAGAAATTCCGATGCCACACAAGAGTTCATTAAACTTTGCGCTGATGCAGAAAACAAAATGAAGAGAAAAAAAAATTTAGTACAGTACGACTGACTCTTGTGACTTGCAAATCAAACGAGCTCGAACGCGCAACTCGAAAAATATTACCAGAAGAATTGCGAACGATAAAAATGTGGTATGTATAAAACAAAATCGGTCTAAAAAGAAAATACATTTCATGATCATCTGGAAGTAGCAAAGACGAAAAATAATTGTAGTTTTTGATGAGAGAATGAAAAAGAAAACGGTAAATTTGTATGTATTCATAATCTTTGTTTTGGTCGCGTTTATTGTTTTTTTTCTCTCTCTCTCTCTCTCTCTTGCTTTTTTTTTCAACCAGTTTGAAGCTGAAATAAATAACAATGGACTTGGCGTTGGAAGCGAAAAGAAAACGATCATCATCAAAAATCGCAACAAACAATGCGCAAACGGTATGAAAAACGTGCCTTCATGGTCATTAATGGCGTACACAGCTACCAAACAATTCATCGAACTCGATCCCATTTTTTTCTCTTTTCTTCATCGTCTGAATCGGACGCCAAAGACAACGATCTCTTCTTTTTGCACTCTCGCTCTGTGTATACTCTCGGGCATCGTCACAAAAATGTGAGCCATAGCGCATTGGTGTACGCTTGTCAAGCAAACATTTGAAATGAATTTGTAAAAATGTGATTATGTGTTGGTTTTTTGGCAGCCCAAGAGGAAGTAGAACGATTTAATGAGCGATTGTTATAGTTTCGCTTTAAAAGTTTTGACACATTATTTATCACTTCGTGCCAATTGTGATTTGTCTTTCAACAAATTAATTTTCATGATTTCATGATGTGATGGTTTTTTATTCTCTACGCTTACCCAACAGCTAATTGAGAGAGGAGTGTTTAATTTCGGAGGCGCTGTTAGACGATTTCACTGTCGATCGGCTCGATATGTGATTAATGAAAATGCACATGGATTCGATGTATTGGATTTGTCACTTACCTGAAACGATAGAAAAGAGAAGAGAAAATTAATTAAAATTCATTCATTTCGTTGGGGGGAAAAAAACACACGAACCGTTCGACAAACGTTCGGGTTCGGATGTGTTTGCATAATCAAAAATTGTTGAGCTCATGAACAAGAGCGGTAGGTAACAAGCAGTATGGAGCGGAAAAAAGAGGGCCATAGCACACAATGTAACACACAGAGTAGATTCTATATTCAGGGCAAGCGCTTACGTAACATCGCATCAAATGCGCGCAAGAAGAGCGTGGAAAATTTTCTTTCTCTTCCATCTCGTATTTTAAATAATGAGAATTTCGAGAGAGAGAGAGAGAGAGAGCTATGAGCACACGACGAACGAGTAAGAAACGAATAAAAAACATGGCGGATCAAAAAATATATATTTTGTCGATTTAGTCGCTTCTCGCAAAATCTGAAATCGCCTTGTTAAGCTCTGATATGTGCTCATATTCACACAGAATATTCAGTACATTTTGATATATTCTGGCGACGGTTTTTTTTCTTTCTTTCACTCGTTTCTTTGCTCCGGTTCTGTCTTTGTGTATGCCTCGGCTATGAGGAACACTCGGTCGTCTTCTGCTCGCTACCTCTCTCTCTCTCTCTCTCTCTTGCTGCTACGTATTCTATCTTTTGCAATGTATTAATCGTACAACGACTTGTCTTTGTTCTTTTATGCGATTTTATTTCTTTTGAGCTGTTGATGTTTTGGTATGTAATTCATACAGCATTTCATCGCTACCAATTACTTGGCAACATCTCAAAATATTTCTCTCAGCTTGCCGTTGCCATCGCCGTTGTGGTCGTCTTCGTCTATTTCATCGTCGTTGTTGTCGTCGTCGTCGTTCGGTCCGATTTGTGCATGACATTTTGTTCGCAGCTCATTTTATCGTGCGCGAAATAGTTGCAAGGAAAAATAGAATGTTATGCCGGTAAATAGTGTTCCTACATGTTAGAAGTATACACAACAGATCGACTACAACGACTCTTCGATATGGGAAAACTAAAAATATAATAGCATTGAAAGATATGCAGACGTGTGGTGTTTTATTCAGCGTGACTATCGACAGCGAGAGAAATAGCAGCGATATCGAGCGTCTGCGTAAGACACAGATTCATGTGACGAATACGAAAAATTGCAACGAGAAAACGTCGAAAGCGGTGAAAAAACAAACAAACACACACTCCCACATACACAGCAAATGGCGTCCATTGCATAAAGTCGCAATTTTCGCAGAAAGTTGAATCTCGATGCGTACCGTTGCATTTCAAATGGCTTGAGACACTATTTTCTCCTATTTGGTGATTTAGCAGAAAATTTTCAAATGCATTTTCATGCACGCAGCAGCAATGGCAACGACAGTGGCGACAGTGATGAAAAAACCTCACATCGAAAATGATTATTTGGTGTCACGTAATTTGTTGGAGGACGACTTTCAGCACACAATACTTTAGCGTTCGCTATAGGCACTGGGTGCTCGTTGTGAATATCGATTATTTTTTTTGTTGCCTGGGCATTGCCTCATATATGAACTGAACGAGAAGAACAGCAGAGGCAGCAGCCAGCAACGAAGCAAAACACTTTTTCTGAACAACACACCGAAATATGTTATGGATGCTGTTTTTGTTATGCCACGGCATATTTCGCTATGGTTTGTTCTGGTGACGGTATTGCTGCTGCCGTTGCTGCTGTCGTTTTATCGGCGCTGTGTGCTGCTTTGATTATTTGATTCGAGAGAGCAAACATAAAATGGTGGAATTCTGTATGCATGATACGATTCTTATTTCAAAGCCAGAGAGAAAAAAGCACACAACATATATATCGAAATGCTGAAGTAGCAACAGCAACAGCACCAGCACCAGCACCAGCAACGCCAAGCAATACAACACACCATTTTCATAGACCCAAATCAAGCTCTCTATTGCGTAGCCATGCACTTACTCCTCTCTCTCGATTCCACACACAAACACACAATCTGAGCCGCAGCCCGTTAAAATAGATATTTTAAGTGATATATACAAACGGCTTGGTTGGCAGACTGCTCGAAAACCCAACACGCTACCATCGAACGTATGTGACGATGATGATGATGTACCGTAATGCATCTTTTTCGTTGTTTCATTGCATTTTATATATGTACATACTTGATACGGTTAGGTTTTGTTTCGAAATGTTAAACAATAAATCGGAAAATAGAGAAATTGATTTCGATATTTCCTGTTTCTTGTTTGGCTGCTCGCCACCATCTTCTTTTATTCTCTCTCTCTCTCACTGTGTTTATTTGGTTTTGCTCTGTTCCAGTTAAACTTTGTAACACACACACACACACAGAGAGAGAGAGAGAGAGAGAGAGATGAGTGATAGCCGGGAATTTCGAAAGGTATTCCTAACTAAATTACCACCTAATCCGGTTGCAAATCGTTTTCATGAGTCCAGAAACTTGACCCTTGAAATAATTACATTATTTTACGGCATGGAAAATTGGTTGCATGGCCCTACCGATTGGCCAAAGCCATCAAAACTATTATGGCAAAACGTGCGAAGCGTTTGTTTGTTCGCACAAAATGTTCTGCATGTGTGTATAGTTCAATTTTGGACCGAATGATTTTCTGACAAAAGATAAATCAAACTTGCTCCGTTCGCACACATTTTCTCTCGCTCGATCGCATCGAAGCGCACAATATGGCCGTCCACCTACATGCCTATTTATTTTCCGAATTTCTCATATTCAAATTTCGGCTACACACGGCCAAATAAAGAAAATTCGAGCGAGCAAACGAGAGACAGATAGAGAGAGGGACGGAGACACCGAATACATATCGGAATTGCAGCTACGCCGGTGCAATTGAACTTTTTGCCATCGTGTTTATGTTGTTCGTGTTCGGTGAAGGCAACCACCAGCAGCAGCAGCAGTGACAGCAGTAACAAGAGGATGGAGTGAGCGAGCGAGAGTGAGTGAGTGCAGGTTGTTTGTTCGTTCGCTTCGTTTCGTTTCGTTTGGTTGCTTTGTTGTGCATTACATTAAATATATCTTTACATAGTTGATTTTGTCTATAGATCTCTATACAAAACCGATCCCGAGCATATTTGATATATATGTGCCCAGCGATGCTCTCTGCCATATCACATAAACAACCACATGCACATCATTTCCAAAGTGCACATTGTGCAAACAGCATGCACACAACGATGAGACACATAGAAACCTCTGAAACTCTCTGAGCGATATACACATAACCTGGTTATATTTTCAATAGAAACTTATGTTTTCTCTCGTTTTATATTTTGCCATTTTCATTTCGGAAAAATACGAAACGCAATCCGATGAAGAAAAACACAACAACAGAATTTCGTCGATACACTCTACAATCTACATCTCGCACTTGGATCGATAGAAAAATATTTGGTGTGAAACAGTCAGCAGTTTGTTCCATTTTCAATTTAACGATGCATGCAAAATACGACCCAAATCATTGACTGATTTCGAATGAATGAACGAAAAAAAAATCGATTATTCTGTGTTTCTAATTTCAATTGTTTTTTAATAGTTTCACTCGACTTTTCCCTCGCTCTCTCACTCGCTCACCGAAAACACAAATCACGACGACTTTTCGAGAAAAAAAAATGAAAGAAAGCGCAGCACAAGACAAACATGCACTCAATTGACCAATTGAGATCGAGTTATTAAGGCAGCAATTAAATGATGAAGAATGTGATGTTGCCAGATTTCGCAATCATATCACATATTTAATTCGAAAATCCACACTCACACACACACACACACCGAGTGCAGCAACGGCGATCTCTACACAATTGATGGTCGCCAGTGCGTTTGTTCAAACAAACGATAGCGAATATACATTCGTTAGCTTGGCCATTCTCTAACGCCCGCTGCCACGTCTACGACATCTATTGGCGTGTACACTGCAATTCAAATGAATGCAATGCTCGCTTGCGAGAAAACAACGTAAAAAGAAGTAACAACAACGAAGAAAAAAAAACAGCAGCACACACCGTTGACTAAAACAAAAGCAGCAAATCTGAATCGAATTAAACGAAAAAAAAAATGTATAAAAGTTAAATACAAAAGATAGATTGCTATTCAGTTGTGTGTGTGTGCGCGATGAAGATAGAAAAGAGTTGGCAAATGAAGAAAAAACACAGAAAAAAAACAT